TCAACGACGCCGATGACATCTATGCCTCAACACCTGTGTTTGCAGTGCTCAGATGGCTTCTGGCACTAGCACTCACATTCCGGTGGAGCATCACAACAGGTGACATCAGCACAGCCTTTCTACACGCAGCTGCAGCAGTGACAACAGGAGTCGCATTACATATGTATCCACCAACAGAGTTCTACAATGCTGCAGACCGCATAGTCTGGAGATTGAACAAGGCCCTTTATGGGCTCAGATCATCACCAAAGGCCTGGCAGGATCATATTGCAGACATCCTTCAACATGTGTTGAAGCTGGAGCGCCTCAGAACAGAACCAAACGTCTTCAAGACACCAGGCAACACCTGCTCAACAACAACATTCTTGATGGTTTATGTAGACGACCTTTTCTTCCCGGGTCCACACGAGACCATCAATAAGATCTTCAAGCAGATTCAACAACATCTTCTTCTTCGACGAACTGGAGAGCTAACAGCCGGAAAGACAGTGACATTCCTGGGGCGCAACATCACACACTGTGGAACACACTTTGAGCTCTCACTTGGCAACCACTATGTTGACAACATCATCACGGAAGTCAAAATGGCGACATGCAATCCATCAGCGACCCCAGGGACGGCAGCACTACGAGCAACAGATGAACATGAGCAAGACCTCAGCAGAGAAGAACATGGAATGTACAGACGTGTAGTAGGCAAGCTTCAATGGCTTGTCTACACAAGGCCAGACTTGGCCTATGCAACAAAGGAACTTGCAAGAGCACTCAACAAGCCAACCACACAGGATTGGAAGCGCATGAAACATGTCGTGAGGTATCTACAAGGAACAAAGCACTACAAGTTCACAGTCTAACCAACAGCACAAATAACTGATGAACTTAAGGAGATCGACGTTGATGCATATGTCGATGCTGACTGGGCAGGAGATCCAGTCACAAGGAAATCAACATCCGGGTTTGCCATCTACATCTTTGGCACCTGTGTACAATTCGGAAGCAGAACACAACAAACAGTAGCACTTAGTAGCGCAGAGAGTGAACTCTACGCGATCGGAACAGGAACAATTGAATCACTACACCTCAGCTATTTCCTCAAGGAACTACACAGCAACCTCAAGATCAACATCCGCATTCTCACTGACTCATCAGCAGGAAAGTCCATTGCAACACGCATTGGCAGCTCAAAGAAAGCAAAGCACATCCAGATCAAGTATCTCTTCGTGCAACAACTCGTTCAGGCCAACATCATTTCAATCGTGAAGATAAGGAGCAATGACAACAGAGCAGACGTCTTCACCAAGCATGTGACTCCTGAAACACTCAGGAGGCATCTGCAAGCCATCGGTCTCATTGACCGAAACAACAACTCACACAATTGAGAAGCTAGCAGTTTCACAGCAGCAATCTTCAACATGAAGATCAAGCAGTCAGCAAACATGCATGCAGCATGACTTCCAACATGGAGGTCGAGCAATGTGTTTCAAGCAAATGTGTCTCAACAAGAGATGCAAATGATAGTCACGTGCGCGTGCGTGTACAGCGTGAGCAGTGCGCAGACACACATAAACAGTGCACATTTAGAATTTCGATGCCATGGTTCGATGCCGTTCTCTCAACAGAGACGAAGCCCATCGATTACATGATCTCTCTTTTGGTTTCAACACCTTCTTGCCGATCGATCGCTCCAACATGATTTTCATGCACGTCAACACTTTTCAGTCTCAACATGTGATTTCGGAAGGTGATTTGAATTCAACGTTTTTGCCGCCCTTTCATTCAGAGCTCAACAGCCAGAAGCGTAATCTTCGCCTTCAACCTCGGTAACATGGCTGTGGTTCAACTCACTCCGATGACGGGAACATGTCAGGTCTATGAGGCCACGTTCCCAATTCCAACGCATGGAGGTCAGGACAAGAGGACACCAACATGCACAGCCCACTTAACATCAACCCGGACATCAACACGGGCTCGATCACGGAAGAGGGTGTGAACAACCCCTGAGCCTTTCAACGAAGGTCAACACTGGAGTCAACGGGTGCGTAAGTCACTAGATGACTCAACAGTGTCAGTTTTTGCCAGATCGCTGTCTGAACACGACATTGATCTGAGGGACGGTGTGAAATTCAACATGACACTGTTCCCAACATTGAGGGAGATATACCTCAACATTGTGGCTCAACACTACGGCCCTTGAGCACATTCAAGATACAAACAAAAGGCGCGAGCATTTCAGCAAACAGTTCAACAATACTTCAAACTTTACAAGAGAGAGAGAGAGGCTATAGATTGATGACGGGGGTGTTTGGGTTGAGTGGTGGACCCTCAACCCCTGCGGCTGCTGGTGGCTGTTGGTAAATGCTAGTGGCAGCAGTGTGGCCAAAGTGATCAGCGGCCGTGGTGTACGGGCCGGGTAGATTGGATCCAACACCAGCATGCTGCAAGAGTGCAATGATCACCATAATATCAAAATTAACAAAACAGACTAAACTAAACACTTTAAGTTGCACAATCAACAGTTGTTTTTCCAATTTCCAATTGTTACCATGATCACATCAAAACGTGCATCCATGTACAGATCATCTTCACCTGACAGGCGGGAGAGGAAACCAAAAACACGGACATTGCACCTTGGACTTCGAAGATCAGCCGGTCCAAAAGTTAAAAGGACATAAAAGGACAAGGCTTGTGAGCTGAGACGGGACGTCATTCGGAGATCCGCCCGAAGACCGAATACCTAATTCACTTGACGTGACTTAGACCGCTTGCGCTGAGGGCCATTGAATCAATTTTTGCGTGATCATCTTGAGGGCGTCCTATTCAGATTGCAACACGTGAAACGGCGTGATATCTGTGCTACCCACGTTCACCCACACGTGGCCCCAAAAAAACTAAGAGGAATATGCACCATACTCAGACTGGCTGGCTGCTTCACATGCTTCACTTGTTTTGGTCCAGTTCGCCACCCCACTGCCAAGTGTCAGGTTGGGCAGCTTGGGCAGTGCCATGGCGTCGGCTGCCAATCGGCGCGGCCGAAAAAAGACGCTGGGCCCAAAGCACTGCGAGTACGGAGAGTGGCACCTGGCTTCCTGGGCCCTTGGTGGGGCCAGAGCCCCAAAGGCCGGGACTGTTCGGGGTTCTGGCTTGAAGGCCTTTCAAAGCTGCAGCCTTACATGTACCACTAACCGGCATTGTCATGGTCACTGGCATTGGCATGGTCACCTTTTATACTGGTTCGACTTTTCACTGGTCATATTGGAATTTGATAGCAAAGCAACAGCAATCAACAGCATATCATCAAAACCCAAAGCCTCAGCCCCTAAGTATCCACATACCCTCCAAACGCGCATCCAAACGCGTGGTGTTTCAATACACGGTCCATCCAAATCGCCGGAAGATCCGGAGCGGGCCCCCGTCGCGGGAAGCTCCGTGTTCGACGCCTTGGCGCTGGATGAAGACGGTGACCTATTCGCACGTGTTCTGCCTCTTTCGCCAGCGGGTGAGTGGACTGTTTGGTGACCTATTTCGATGGATTAGTGTGTGAGCGTGTCAAAGTGTGTGAGTGTGCAACTACCAGTAGGCTGTGGGTTGAGTGGTGTGGCTCGAGCTGGTTCATGGCCTCAGCATTCATCTGGAGAATGGCGAGCTTGAGGCATTGACTTCTCTTAGAGAAATCGCAGAGTTCAAAGCACACTCTCCTGTATTGCCAGGAGACCATGCCAACTTAAAGGTGAGAAATTCACTGCTTCGATACCAAAGCCATGTACCCCACCTATGCACGCCAAAGACCTTTCTTCAGGTCTTGGGCTTTGGGCTGCCAAGTGACCACTGAGTCTGGCAATTGCAAGTATGTGCCAATGTACCACGAACCATGGATTTCACTATCCAGATCTATCCAGTATACTTGATGGTGTCCTTGAAGTTGTCTTAATTGGTCTTCCAAACGGGACCGTGGCTCAAACGGGGGGTGAAAAATGGCACAATCAGCAAACCAAGTAACCGGCGTGACCGGATGAATAAACCCAGTAACCTCCCCGAGAAGGTCATAAGTTGGACGTACATGATGTGGAGCACCACCCCCATAAACATAGAGTCCTCTCTAAACAACACACAACAACAACCCTGGACAGTCCAGACCGTCGATGTATGATCTCCAAAAAAGGGTTAAGGGTCTCCATGAAACAGTCCACAAGCAGGTCCTGCTATATATTTAGCAGAAACATATTTCTGGTGCAGTGCATTGACAAAGTAGGCTAGTTTACATCAATTTTAAACATTGAACAGCCAAAGCCACTATCACACAGCCGATGCTTGCACCAACAATTCTGTCTAAAGCCCACAAGTGTCTCATCGAACTCCCGTCAGCATATTCTGCACCATGACCAAAGGCCAAACACTTGTATCCCCAAGAATGGCTTGCAGTGGTCATTTGCCTTCAGCTGCGGGCGTTGGGCACCTCAAATGCCTGGATGTTTCTCAAAAGTCAATGAAGAACATTGCTTGCTTTGATGGCACAAAATCCTTCAGCACCTGGGATAGGGCAGGGCTGTAGAGTCTTGTGGCTCCATGGAGGAAAGAACTCCCTTCAACACGAGCGCCTCCAAGTACTCCCAGACTGGTGAAAACAGCGTAGAAGAGTACCATTACCAGTAACAGTGGATGATGATAGTTATATAGTAAAGGCCTTTCTCTAAGTATATCTCAAAGTATGCGTTTCTTTTTCTCCGAAGATGAGCCGAAAAGAGGGCCTCGTCGGGGTCTCTTTTCGCGTTTCTCCGTCGAATGTTGGAAGACTTTGGAAGTTGCTGGAATGTTAATTTTAGTAACTAAAGTTCTGGCAAAACCATCAGAGATAGCCTAAGTGACAGTGGTTTTCATCATTTTAGTTGTGTGGCTACTAAGAAAAATAGGGTGGTCACATTCATCTTGGGTGGTCACCATTGGTCACCCTTTCATCACCCCAAGACATCCCATCATAGACCTGGCGATGTCCTCGCCTGCTCTCAGCTGGCATCTGATTGGTGCGCGGGTGAGCTGGAGCGGAAATTCTTCATCGCTTGGCCGACGATGGCGCAACTCTTCCTGGAGGGAAGAGGGCGTAGCGAGAGCGCACCTTCGACCTGTGATAGTACCTTAGAACATGGATCCCTATGGCTGTCAATATGGACCCGGGAGGCTGGAGCCACATGATACAAAATGGTGGTGAGCCCCAAGTTGACATAAACTGAATCTACAGTCGTACATGTTTTTTTTCAACCTTGCCATTGCCGAGTTGCTACGAACGTTGCGTCGGGTCCAGGTATGTCCGATGTCGTGTGACCTTCCCTGACCTGAAGACCATCTTGAAGCTGCAGGTTCTTGAAAGGATCCCTCTGCTCATGTGAGCAGGGTTCTTGTTGGTGACTACGGGGCCTATAAACTGGAAGCATGCCGCATCTGCCTTTGCATGTCTTCGCGAGAGCAAATGGTGCCTTTGCGTCTAAACTTAATGTGGTGCCTTCGCGATATGCTTTCGCGAACCGTTTGGCTTTCCACACTTCCCTCTAGGGATAAGAACACAAGGATTCCAGAAGAGATGAACAGTGATACTATGTAATGCTCCTCTGCGAGGAAAGAATCAATTATAGAATAAATTTGCATACACAAGTTGCCTTCGGCCTACGCGATTTGGCCTCACATGCCTCCGCCCATGCACAAAACTGTGAGAATTGCCTTCGCGGGCTATGATGCAGTTCCACTTTTATATAGTAAAGCTCTTTGCGTGCGAATTACAGGAAAGAACACGTGGCTCATATTGAGGAAACTCCTCCAAACATGTGCTGTCGTTCAAAGGATGGTGCCACCAGGCCTCACTTCATGGATTGATTGACCCCCCATGGCCCGACCAAAGGGTATCACAAAGATCCAACAACTCAAACCTCATGCCGAACCAAGTCTAAAAAGAACGGGCACCACCCTCGGTAAGTGCGTGTGTTGTAGCGTTCAACAGGCCTTGGTGCTCAATGATGGGTTGAAAACCGAAAAACAACCAATGAATGTTCGCAGCGTATGTCAAACTCCCTCGAACCTGAATGCATGGCTAAAGCTCAACCCATGCGGACCCCCCAAGAAAATACTGATGGCATGTCAAACAGAGAGTTGGACCATCTTGGTAGACCAAACCCAAATGTTGCCCGCTGCCTGGCGTCCCTTTCGAGTTTTTAACACAGCACCCCGTCCGGATGGATGCTGCGCTGTGCTGCTGGACGTACTCTTCTGGAAAGATGTGTCCTGAACCCAGCCAAGCCCCAGAAAGACTGCGCCAGTGACCCCAGCTTGAACATCCTAGATGCGGATTCATAGAAGCCACACAAAAGCACGGCGGGGGCGTACATACGTTCTCTGAATCCATCGCGAGGCCCAGTGCAACTGCGAGGCCCAGTCCCACACTTTTCGACTCCTTCCGTCCGATCCGTTTCAAGGACTTTCAGTCATAACTGTTTAGTTTAGGGCATATAACTGGCATACAATTATGGCATCATATATGCCCATCGAAAGTTCATGAAGCAAAGGATCTTCACCTAACACCAATCTTGAGCCCTCCAGTCAGTGGTCACCAAACCCATCCGCGCACCCCGACCCACCTGGACGGGCGTCCCGCATGTGTCCGCTGAAACACCGAGCGGCGCAGGAATTCGTTATAGGCGATGCTGCCTGAGTGATCATCATCGAACCTCAGATTCGCCTCTTCATCGTTGGGCAAGCGTCAGCGGTCACTGTATTTAGGGAGCAACATACACTGACCAACAAAACAAACAGCAAATGAGTTGGCAAATCCAAGACCTATCCACCGAAAAAGTCAAAGAAAAGAATACCAAAAAACAAAACAGTACCAGCACACCCACGACTCACAGCTGCCCACGACTCTTCGAGCCAAAACCCGAAGATCTAAAGGATGCCAAGAACAATTCTGTTCGACGTTGTAAAACAAAGAGCCCATACCTTGAAGCACCAAAAAGGATCAAATCATTTTTGCGGATTCGCGGAACATCAGGCCGCCCACACGGAATCGGTCGGACGCATACCGTGAGCAGTGGGAACAAGAACGCTACGTTCGGGGCTCCTGGCATCGCTACTAGGAGTAAGGATGCCACTAGGAACAAGAAGCTAGTGGCAGGCACCGTTTCACATATTATCTACAAACCAACCAAACGCTCCATGGGACTGCCATATTTACTGATCAGTTGGGGTGGTTTGGGGGGTCAATGTAGGCATATATTCCTTATTCCACACATGGAGTGTCTGGGCCATGACCAAAAACTCATAATCATAACTATGAGAAAAATTGCTGTCTTGCATTATCATAGTATGGCAATGGTACACTGCATATGACAGTTGAGCAATAACAACAATTCAATTCCTGCTTCGGGATGTTTCAGGATGGTGTTCTGGGGGGCCACCAGAAAACCTTTTGAAACTTAACAATCATCACTGATCGCCAACCTTCTCCCATCATGAGTTAAAACTGCCATCATCCCTTAGTACAAGTTCCTTTATATAGACACAAACTATATCAAACCATATATAATTTACACATAGAGATGCTCCAAGTACTGCTCCAAGTCCAATAGTACTTGACCCTCTTCTATGTCCCCCCAGTCTCAACTCTCACTTTTTCAGTGACATCACTGAAAGAAGTGAAGTCGTCTTCACGCCTGTTTGCCAACCCTTTTTGTAGCACACCTGGTCTTCACATCACATCATACAGCATCATCGCAAAAAAAAAACAATGACTCATCCAAGGTACAGCTGAAAGACACTGATGGCGGTGTCTTTATCGATGCCGATCCGTAGTTGCCGCATCAGCTCCAAGAACTCCTCGAACCCATCGCTCCCGCGTGAAGTGTTTTCAAAAAAGAAAGCGGAAGCGATTGGCCGCTTTTCGGTGCTGGAATTTGATGCTCTTTGTCTGTGTGTTAACTCTCTTTTAAGGTATGTGGGATGGCAGGACTGGGATGATGGCAGTCCCGCGTCAGCGATTGGAGCGACTGAATGGAAGAACTCTGGGTAGATGTTCACAGGACAAACTGGCAGATTTCAGTCCCAAGGGTACGTAATGAATTTGTATTGTCAAACATTTTTGGAGCGCCAAAAAGAGCCGCGTGTAGGTGCGACTTAAGAGATCGGATGGAGACCGCTCCGAAATGCTCAGCGTGCCATCGCTGTCGACGTCCACATAGCTGAAGAGGAGACTTAGCCCGGCAGAGGTGTAGCCCCATTTCCTCCGCAAGAGGCGGCAAACTCAGATGGGTGAACAAGGTACTGTCACCAAACGAATCCTCAAAGAAAGTATGCATGAGTCGGTGCTATCCTATTACCAGGGCCCAGTGGATGATGATCGTTAGGTTGCAGGCCTTTCTCTAAAATAGTGTGAATTGCCACAGAGTTGCATACCGACTCTTACGGGTAATGGGACAAACATGGACAAACCCAATTCATGAGATCCCAATCCAGTGTGCGATCCAATGGGTTACCTGAACATACCTGGACCACGAGTCGTGCACTACATCTCGGACACCCCGTACATGGTCTGGCAACCAGTCATGAGATAAGTTTGCCAAATTTGCACCCTCAGCTTGCACCCTTGTGGGTACACAATGATTGCATAATATTTGGTACCATGCCGTGTTAATCCGTGTTATCGTTGTCTTTGGGCAATTGGTTTATTTTAGTATATTTTAGTCAAGTAACCTTCTCCCTGCCACGACTGGGGAATTGAGGTGTCAAACGATATATAATTCCCATTGGAAATCAGCACGTCCCGCTGGATTCAGTGATCGGGGGTGGATGTTGCTCGTTCTCCTTGAGACTTTTCCAATGAAACATCTGGAATCCTTCGTGAAGATTGATGGTATATCTTGACAATGTCCTGACACCTCCCTGGCAAAACAACATGTGAAGTAAAAACAACACGACACCTTGCCGATTCAGCACAGTTCAAGCATAAGAAGTCCTCTACAATAGGTGTATACAATCCTCCCCACATTTCTGCCCCGCAAAAGTACCCTGATTCCTCCACATACCTGTTCATTGATTTTTCTTTCGACACATCCAAAAAGCACAACTCCGTTGCCATTGAGGAGCTCTAAGCACTTCCGGGTCCGCGTCATCACCAGCACCTCCCCGCGTCTTTTCCAGCTAGCCGTGAACTCATATCCTGAGGGGGGCCCATGGATGCGGTGCACCAAATAGATCTGTTTGACATCTTTTCGACATATCTTGATGTGAGGATATGATTTCTCAGAAGAGTAGCAAAAGTAGCGAGAAGTGGTACAGTATGTGGGTGTACTCCTTGGATGATTGAGATGAGGACCAGCAAACACCAAACGGATCGGAATCAGGTCGAACGGTTGAACGCCTTGACCTTGGATTCGGCATCGTGGCACGTGGTATTTATAGACTTCAAAGTGACAAAGCTCTCTTGACATGTTGTTACTATTTTCATTTGTGCGCAGCATCATCAGCATCTTGAAAAAGTGTGTTTCCCTACCCTTTTCACTGATTGGCACAGAATGGTGATGTTGCTAAGCAAATTGGCAGCAAATGCTGCTGCTGCTGATGATGAGATGACGACGATGACGATGACCATGACGAGGATTATGATTGTTGTTGTTTGTAAGGGTGTTTGTCGCGTATCACACATAGTGACATAGTTGAGTGCATGCACCGCCTCCTTTAAGACACACACACACAGCCAAATCTTTGCGGCGAATCTGTGGGAGACGCATGCCACAATCTTGCCGCTTACCAATTACCGAAGACGGACTGACAAAACCAGCACGTCCCAAATGATCATTTGTCCTCCATAACCTCGATTTGGAGGGTGGCCGTTCAAGATTTGTCGAACACCCTTGAGAATCTGAGAATGTTACGACAAAGCTGCCCCGCAGCCACCCCCAGTCAAAGTGCAAGGCTCCGATGATACCCACTGGCAGCGCCAAGAACCAAACGCTCAACAAGGTGAGGGCAAAGACCACCACATAGCCTGCTGGATCTGTTGGAAAGGGTGATCTTTTCCAGGAGTTTCAAGGTGTCAAACCTCCAATGAAGGTCTTGGCTATGGTTGTTGGTCCACACTGCCGACTCCCCACCACAGGTCATCACAATTCAGCAGGGCCCACACTGGCATCGGAGACTGCCCATGCCGGCAATTCACCGGATGCTACATTCGGTGGGGGGGGACTTTAATGGCTTCACCCTACTCCAGCCACTCCATGTATGGCATGTTTGATATATGCCTACATTGGCCCTGAAACCACCCAATCTATTTAAATATGCCATACATGGAGTGTCTGGGTACTATCCTCCAGAAGTAGGGATCTCTGAAACAGCAAAGCACCTCATTTAGAAGTGCTCAACCAGCGACCTGATTGGGTGTTTGCTAAGTGCTCAACCAGCGACCTGTTTGGGTGTTTGCTTTGGTTTTGCGAGCAACTGCCACAGTTGGCCACTGAGTCAGCTACAGGCTATACCGTATATTGTCCCGTTCTTTTCTCATTTGTAAGGAGCCCAACATGAACAAGTCAAGAAGGAAAAACTCGCTCATCTACTATATATGTTTGTTCTGTAGGATCAAAGGGAAATAGCGCCCTCCAACACATTTCACTGGTTTTCCGGCTTTTTTCCCCCAGGCGAACCCCAGGTTTCTTCTCTCTCACCAGAGAAAAAAGCACCACACGAGGTTCCAGGAAGTTGCACCTAAGGCCAACAGCAGTCTGAGTGCTATAATTATATAACCACATGTCCCAAAGAGAGTCAAGGGCTCATCTCCCTCTTCTGCGTACATATAATTACATATATACATATACTGTACATGTGTGTAGACCGCAATAGCAAGCGGCTGAGTCAAATTGTTACCACTTACATCCGACTCGATGTTAGCAGGGGGCAGCAGGGAGTCCACTGACAGTTCTGCTGCCAACAAAGACAGCTGTGGATACTACCTGAAGCAGAACGGGACGCCAATCTGTGTACCTGCAATTTCATACATGTGACGTTCTGTAATTACCTTCCCCTCTAATCGACCAGGCTGTTTAGGTGAACATGAGGTTTAAAGACTTGCACTCGACGGTGTTGCCCTGACATCTGAAATTACGAAGGCTGTGGACTTAGGAGGTTCAGGGTTTTGACATCACTTTGCGGTTCCTCCAAATAGCCCTTCCCAGTGTGTATGTGTGTGCATGTGTATATATATATATATGTAGTATATCGTATGATATGGGTACAGTATATACAAAATCATGGACTGCAAGCATGGTCAACGAGCAAAACAAAGCACTAAGAGGTTGACTGGCAGCCAATGTCAACCGCTAGTTCGATTTACAGTCACAGGCAGCGCCGCAGCATCCGCGGGCTATTTTTGAGCTGCTGCCAAAGCAGGGTTTGGCAGCACCAATCCGCAGGCACCATCAACTCCACAATCACCGATAGCGAAGCCAGCCAACGACAACTTCTTGGGAGAAGGCCCAGACTCGACTCTTCTTTTCTGTTACTACAAGTAGTTACTTAAATCCGCGAGCGTCATCTTCTTAAGCCTGCGAAATTCACCTTGTTCTGACATCAACCCTTCAACCCACCCTTCACTGAGCCTCCCAGAGTCTTCGGGACAAAATCTCCATAGCCCACCGTGGTCATGGTCACCACCTCACACGGAAGGAGTGGATGCGTCCAAATCGGCACGGAAGGGGTGTTAGATCTGTAGATGGATCCACTACCACCCTCTTTTTGATGGAGCAGGGAGACACTTTGATGTAACCGAAGTGAGGATCGAGTCATACCTTCCGAGAAGGAGTATGTGGATCCCATGGGGTTTATAATTATCGTCAGCAGTGTAGTCAGCAGTGGCGTAGTCCTTGGGTGAAGCCATTTTTCATGGTTCTAGTACATATACAAGAGAAACACCCCAATGACGCATTCTGAAAGTCTGGATGTTATATATGTTAGATTTCCTCTACAGGATGCACACTTGAATCATCGCACATTGCGATCGTACCAGAAACTGCCAAATTAGCAAGAACTCCCCTTGGCTCCCTGCATCAATATTGGGAGTTATGGATACCCTGGCTCCTTAGCTCCCTTTTAAGCTAGGGATAATTTGTTTTGCTCTCAACCGGCTCAGTACGGCTCGTTTTTTCGGGTCACGACCACTTGTAATGACCTAACATGGCCTCAACATACCTGCAAGAGGGCCCCAACTTGGACTACACGTCACCAATGATGAATCAGGAATGATGGGCCTCTTTTTTTTGCACGCACAGCACCACACGACATGGGTGAGCTCCAGCTGCCATCCTGTCGCAGAACCATGCACTTCAACCAACTCATGACCAAGAGGTTGCATGTCACGCTGCGCCGGGTATTTAGCCCTCAGGCTGGCACTCTGCTTCTTTCCGACGCTTGGGTGAGATGAGGAAGAGTCTCAGGAGTCTTTTTCCAAAGTTTCTGCAATTTCACCGCAACCGCCGAACCTTCACGCTTACTCTTAGGATGAAGCACCATGTGGGCAATCCTAGACTTATCCTTTTGGTAGCGTGGCAGCATAGGTAAACCTTTCAGACAAACGGAACATGTCCACGAACGGGCATCCCAAGGAACATTGTGAGAAGGCGTGATCACTTCAACCTGTCGCAACTCACCTGCCGACCCTTATGGCGACTCTTTACGTGCCAGGCCCTCCGTTTTCCAAGCTTTGTAAAAGAGGAGTCAAATAGCTCCAGGCCACAGATTCCGCACGACCACGAGAATTCAGGGTGAACATTGTCCACATCAGCAATGCGAGCGACATCGTTGCCAGAAACCTTACTGAATTTCTGCCGAGAAGGCTCAGCACTGAAATCATCAGTCTTACAACTCGGAAGTTTCCTTTTGGCAAATTGTCCCCCAACCGAACCACAAGTATGCCCACCAAGTGATCGCCCAGGCGAAGCACTTTGAACACTTGTCACAGTACAACCACCCAACACTGAGGAAGCACTTTTCGTGCAGCCACCCGCCTTGGTACGCAAGGACAAGACAAGATCCTTGGGGACTTGCAACGTCTCATAGTGCCCAGGATCAGGCGAGCAATACAACCACAGGTCCGGAAAACGACCTTCCAAGTTGAACGTGTAAATCTGACCATGGGCATGAATCACAGAAATAGGCCGATCCAAGGCAGCCGCCAAAGCGGCGTTTCCAAGTTCCCAGCCCAAGGGTTGACCTCAGCAACTTTATCCAAATAAGATCGAAAACCAGCGATCTCGACTTCCTTGGTCTGGGTACCATCAGGCAGCTCCTTCATCGTGAGCCCACATATCCAACTTTTGCGTACAGCCAATCACCCCAAGTCTGAGGCACAATCCATCTTCACGCTCACTGCAGTACAAGAAAAAGCCTCTTCGCGCGCCCCAATTGGGTTTGTAATCTTTAGCGAGGTTGGACATGTGCTGAGCCACCTGCATGCGCAAAGAGTGGCACCGTAAAAGGCATATTTCCGGCTGAAGATCTTCCCAACGTCCACCTCGCAAGTGCCGCACCGATGTAACGGTTGTTCACGTGTTGTAACCACACGACCCTTCGGTGCCACAGTCCAAAGACCAGCCTCTGCGGCTGAACCTCCTGCTTGCCCTTCTTCCTCAAAATAGCAGCTTCACGTGACGCAAACACAACCCGTGTTTGAGCTTCCTGAGAAGTTTCCATGACCTCATCTTCGGCCACCTCGTCCTTGGCATCCATGTGAGTCTGAGGAACCACATCAGCAGCAACAACAGTATTTGGTATCACGCTTCGCGCGAACATGACCACCAGCACGCTCGAGGACCAACAAAGTCTTGCCGGCACTCACACCAGCCACACTCCCACTCGGGTTCTTTGGCTGCATGTTTGCAACCAAGGACGAATATTCTTCGAATAGGCAACAATGGAGATGCCAAACCAACCAGCATCCTCTAAGATCTCTAAAACAGAAATGAGATCACTCTCATCCCAGTTTTATCAAGAGCGCAAAAATGACTCTCCAAACTGCAACAGCACGCTCAGGAGCAACCTTCGAACGGATGCCCAAACAGTTACCACCACCAGGCTGCTAAGCAACAGGATGGCCCTTGCCTTGAGCACCAGCTAGAATTACACCATATTAAAACCGCCTTATGATACTCAATGGCATCACGCTGACCAACCGATTCCTCTTTTTCCTCTTTTGGCTCTTTCGTATGGCTACGAAACCGACTCCCACAAGTCATTCGTGCTGGAAAAAGACCACCATGCACGAAAGCTCGGGGTCCCGGTGTCATGTCCGCACCCCAAAGGTACCAAACCCACCCACACCCCGGCTGCGGCTACACCGGAGGTCACCCACACGAACGAATCAGCCCACACATGGCGATCGCACGAACGAAGCAGCCAAAGTAGCAAGAACTTCCCTGGGCGCAGTATCATTATTGGGAACATGGATGATATACCCTGGCTCCTTAGCTCCCTTCTGAGCACCCGCCAGCAAAAAACACATTTTCACTCTGAACCTCTGTAGGTGGCCGGGAAGTGGATGACCTTCCACTGACGGTTTCTTAAAAGGTTGCAACGCGGGGGGGGGGGGGCAAACTGCTGAAATATGAACAACATAAGCAGCGTTTGATGGCCAGTTGACGCTTCATTTGAACATCCTTTTGCGAAAAGCAATAAACCATTGAACATAAGCAAAACAAAAATCCAATGGAATCCCACCAAGGCCACAGGATATTGTGTTCCTTTCTCTGATCCAAACCCATCTGGAGTCGACCTGTACGTACCTTGGGAATGGGTACAATTATGGTACAGTTGTACCTCTTTTTGCACAAAAGGGTCATGTCCCAATTTCCAGACTACGCACGCAATCGGCTCAATGTGGCCGACTTCGCTCCCTAGCTTCGGTGTGGAAGTACCATAAACGTACTTAAAGAAGGTTGATGCCGATTCCCAAGTCTCGTACTGTGCCTGACCGCAAGAAAATCTTTGGGATGTCATCATATAAACTTGAGTGGGAGGGGGTGGACCAAAGTCATGGCGTGTGGGAGGATCCTGCCCTGTAGCTAAAGCTAATTGAAATCAGGTAGCTGAGGCTACCTTTCGTGATTTAAGAGAAAAAACACCTGGTGAAAACCGCTCAGGCTTGGCAGGTTCGTAGGCCGCAAAACCGAGCGGCTGCCAGCCAAATGGATTGACTCATGCTGGGGATATTGCTCCTCTCTTCCGCCTTGGTTGGCGCCGCTGACGGCTTCCAGCCAGTAAACTCTGTAAACGCCAAGGAGGTCAACTTGGGCATGTCTTCAGGTTGGAAAAGGGATGACACACGGTCGGTGCCTCTCCCCAGAATGTCCTTGAAGCTGGAGAAACCTGTGAGCGGGCCCGCCTGTTGGCGGCCTTCTCACGGCTTAAGGTAAGCGACTCTCATGCCCACCACGGGACACTCCGAACCTGCTCAGAAATTCTGCCATTCTGAGTCAGTTGGCTTCACTTCTGAATCAGTTGGCTTCACTGTAAGAAGGGATGGACCTTGATCTGTATAGATTTGATCACAAATCAAGGACGCGGGAGGGATTCTGCAGTTTTTCGCCAGAAAAGAAGAAAACCATGTCCGGCAAAGATGACAACTGAAGACTTTGTGAACAACAATGTTGTGTTGTTTTTGTGCGTGTTTTTATCTTTCTTGGTATCAGAGCGGAGGCCAAGAACATCTCCCTCTGCCTTCCCAAGGCTAAACCTCCTTTCCCATGAGAAAACAGTGGTCGTCCTCCAGCACGAAACACGACACCCTGTCACGGTTGAGATGAGGATTGTCGAGCTGTGTTCACTGCATGGTTTGATATGGTGCAGGAAACTCTTCACATCAACATCAAATGTTGAATTTCCTGGAGACGGAGAGAAAAAGTAAGTACATCTTGAACACGTGCTACCGCGCAACACAAAATAGAAAATAGTATATACATATATACGTATATATTTAATATTGCTGTATGATAAATCGATCTTTCTCCAACTGTATAACATCCAAATCCTGTCTCATCCAAGCTTCCCGTGCTTTCTTGGATGGGACCAAACTCCCACCCTCGGCACTGGAGAAAACATCCAAGTACCAAGTGGCCAAGTAGAGTCCAGTGGCCGAGAACAACACTAAAACGGCCATGAAGTAACCTGCGAAGTTCGCCGCTGGGCCATCCGTGCGTTGAGGCGATTGCCACATGTGGTCAAGCCAAGCACATGTACACAACATCCAAAGGTATTGGGACACGGACATCGACTGCCCGCCGCGATGGTGCCCTGACATGAAACATCATTTAACCCTAGGGCTCCAAGTACCTTCTTAGAAGGTGTTTGGGGAGGGTTTAGAGGGTCCAAATACCTTCTGAGGAGGTACTTGGAGCCCTAGGGTAAACAAAAAAAATTAAGGAACCGCCCTCAGAATCCGAACAGGCTTCGCATGGCACGGGGTCAGACATGGTAGGACCCTCATGGTCGGACCGGCCCGGATTCAGAAGGAACCGAAACCAACATAGGGCCTCCATCGCTAGTAGGTTGGAGGCCATTCCGATTAGGGAGGCCATTGCTAGCAGAAGGAATAAAAAGGGCAAACAAGGAACAAAACACATACCAGCAGTCACAAGACGGGGTGGTGTTTAGTCCCATCCAGTGAGTGGATGTCCTGGGCACCCCGACTTCCTCCATGGATAGCAGCCCTAACCTTGTGACTGCTGGTACCAACACGTACTATATAAACACCAACACATACATCCTTACTCTGGCAGTTCTCGCCGGTTCCGGCGGGGATTCACCGGACATGGAAAAACCCGTTTGCAGATCCACCAGGTCCCAGGGTCCCATTCGAACCGAAGTTTCAGGGTCCCAAGAACCAGGGTCCCCCAAAGACCGATTCTAAAGTGATGAGCTTAAGAACCAAATCTGTGGATTTCAGCCAGGGTTCCACTGGGGCACATCCTCGCGAGAATCTCCGGAAAAAAGGGAATGAGCTACAATGACAATGAAGTGAGTTTCTAGTTTCTAGTCCAAACGCTTAGGGCGGTAGGAAGATTCGGCTGATCTGACCTTAGACCTCAACCCGCCAGAACACCACCATCTTCACTGTATGGCAAGAACAAAATGTAGTCGCCTAGAATCTAGATGGGCTAATCGGCTAATCCGTTCTAAAGATAATCCTGCATTCTACAGCTTTTAGACATTCTGCAAACAACAACCAATGATAACCAATGTGTTTTCCCCCGTTCGCATCGCCGGCGATTTCAGATACTTGCCGAAAAACTCAACACGGGCAGCGCCGGAACTGAGTTCTGGAAGGCGACCATCAAGAGCCGAAAGACTTCCTGAGCCAACCACCCATGGTACCGGAATACCCAAACACTCCATGATTCCATGTATGGAATACATGGCTTCACCCAGACCACCCATGGGACTGGAATACCCAAACACTCCATGAAATGATTCATGTATGGAATACATGGCTTCACCCAAACCACCCATGGGACTGGAATACCCATCAAACACTCCATGATTCCATGTATGGAATACATGGCTTCACCCAGACCACCCATGGGACTGGAATACCCAAACACTCCATGATTCCATGTATGGAATACATAGCTTCACCCAGACCACCCATGGGACTGGAATACCCAAACACTCCATGATTCCATGTATGGAAAACATGGCTTCACCTAGACTATTGAACGGGACTGGAATACCCTCTAACACTCCAGGAAGCTGGAATATTCTATGGCTACATTGACTCCCCAAACCAACCAAATGCATGCAAACATGCATACAATATGGAGATATATGGAGTGTCTGGGATGGTTTCATACATATACCCATTACCCCATACACCTGACCCTAATCCGAAACGCTCTATGTAAGAAATATTTGCCTCCCATTGCAGCCACCCCAATGTAGGTACAATATGCCAGTCCCTTGGAGTGTCTGGGAATGTCAGTGCTTATTCTATACATGGTCTGTGCATCGTTCGACTTCACCAGAAAACCCCTTCCCACTATACCGCCGGGAAGAAGAATCCGATCCAGACCTATACCTGGACCTGGCTTCAAGTACTCTAGAAAATGGAACATGGCCTTATAAAGACTAATACCCCCCACAAAAAAAAAGAAGAAAAAACAACATATTGGTACCCATTTTAGAAGGTACATACTGAGACTCCAAATTGTCCAATTGTACAACAGTTCTGCCTCGTTCACTCCCCCCAAACAAGTACTAGCGACAAGGTGGACGTGTTGCAAAAACCGGTTTGTTCCCAGAGATTGGGATCGGGCTCGGTGAAAACCACGGAACGTGCGGACGTGAAAAGCAGCGGGAAGGTTCTGAATGAGAGCTTCTTCTCCGGCCGCCGAACGCTGAGGTCATTCTTGCAAACAATGGGCAAATGTGAAATGAAAACCAAACCGCCCCCCTGCTCATCTCTCTGGTCTTGCGCGTCCCAAATCCAAGAAATCGTGGAATTGCAAGGCTGGCGTGTGGTTTTTTCGGGGCCGAAAGGGCCGAAGCTCGCGACGGTGCGCAGAGACGGTGCGTTTGAGTCGTTTGCCCGAGGGTCGAAGTACCTCAGGAGCTTCATGAAGCGCACAAGCGGCAAGAACACACTCAGCATCACGTCCAACGCCTGGCGGAACCGACCTCCGTGACACCCCACGGGTTTTCCAGCCAGGTGGTCGGAGGTGTCGATGCGCGAAGAGAAACGGGGGGACAGTGTCACCTTAGCTCCTGACATCGATCGCCTGTCCTCTCTTGATAATGGGAACGGTTTAACCTTTATCTATAATAGGAATTTATTTAGTACCAGCACCCTCCAACAGGTCACCACCTGACGCTTTTAAGTATCCAAAAGCTACCAGAGGAGACCTGTTGGACGGTGCTGGTATATAAAATATATACATTAAATCTATAGTCTATGAACCAAGGGGGCTATTACTCGGGCATCAAGCAGTATACCAAAACGAAGGTATGTCGACATGCCGCCCCAGCGGTTGCTTGCCCGTGTGCAGTCTTTACCCGTGTCACGTGTATGGTACACGTCTGGCATGAAGAAGAAACGAGCTCCGAATCCTTCCTATAGCACTTCCAATGGGTGCCCTGTCTGGAGACCTATAAGTCGGGTAGGGTAGTCCATGGTAGTCCATTGGACACCCAGACAGGATGATCCTGGTTGGAGCTTTGAATTTTTGGACGTTTGGAGGTCCCAGGTGCCCGGAGGGGGTTTGGCAGCTGCGCGGCGTTCCCGCGCGCGGCACTTCCCGATGCAGTGCTACACTGCCAATGTGTTTGCGGCATGCTTCACGATGACCGTCTACGACTTGCCAGTTGGTCCTGAATGAAGCCTTCTGTGTCATCTTGGAAATTCCATCCGAACTGCAAGGCGGTCGGGGACTACTTTGTCCAGTGTATATATACCGGGGACACATTCTTTCGCCTGGACTTCAGCTGCCAAAGTGATCACTCGGAATGGCAGGGCGCAGGCTGACCTGAGGGCGATGGCCGACCTGCAAAAGGTTTCTGAAGATGTCCGATGTGGACACATGGACCTCCTGCCTCCAGGTGCTACACCCGGGAAGATTAACATGGAAGACTTCTTCCACAAACCAGTGGTTGTCAGGTTCCACGGAAGACTTCTTCCTGCTCTCATGTTTTTCGGTTTGAGTCGAGTCTTGGGTGACAGGCCCCCAAGAACTCCAGGCTGGGAACAAACCAGAAAAGGGTCTCGCTACGTTCGCAGCGTCCGATCGCTCCGTTCGTAGCGATGCCCTTCGTTACTAGTAGTGTCCTTGCTCTTAGTAGTACGGCCAGAAGCCCCGTTCGTAGCGTCCTTGCTCCTAGAAAACCGCCCCCCAAAAAGTCAAATCAATCTTCCTAGCACTTCCAATGGGTGCCCTGTCTGGAGACCTATAATCAAGTAGGGTAGGGTAGTCCTTGGACACCCATTGGATGAACCTTGTGGTTAAATTTGGGTGGAAATGATACTCTTGATACTTGTGGGGCACACAAGGGCACATGTGTTGCCCCCCATCAACTTGGCCAAACTTTCCCCGCAAAAAACCGTCTTTCCAAATACCTTCTTGGCAAATTTGGAAATTTGGGTACCCAGAACCACCCTGACTTACAACCTCTCTTCACAAAACTCAAGAAAACCTTTATTCGTTCCTGCTGCATGGCTCGATCTTGTTGGGTCACACCTTTGGTCGTTGGCCCTTTCAGTGAACACATGGCAAGTTCACCACCTGACCGCGCCCGCCGCTCCGGAGTCCCCAAGCTCCCCTCCCCCCGAACACCTCATGCAGAATCCCAACACCCCCCGAACGATGCAGACGATGCAGACCATAAGGTTTATCAAACCATCCAGACATGTACGTAGTATGTGCATGTTTTCATTCACGCTTGGAGTCCTCCATAAGTAAAAATAAGATAGACATACCCCCCGTAAATGGAGCGATCCTGAGAATTGACCCTGTGGGTTTGACGATGTTCCGCAGACCAACGCAAGTGGTCTTGTGGGTTCCATCTTAATCTACAGGGGAGGATGCGATTCTTTCAGGAGGACGCTACTAGGAGCAAAAAGCATCGCTACGAACGGAGCAAAGGACGCTACGTTCGGGGCTCCTGGCATCGCTACGAACGGAGCAAGAAGCTATATACCTGGAGGATGCGATTCTTTCAGACCTAATTAGGCCAATGGGAGATGTCTTCGTACGTCTCGTCTCGTCTCTGGCACCTGGTGTTCAGGTCCATCGTTTCGTTTCGGCCATGCGACAGCAAGTCTGCCCAGTTGAAGGGATCTTTGAGGAATGCTGCCTGTGGGGCCGTGTGGGCTTCCAGCTTGCTCAGCTGGTCTGACAGTCTGACCACTGAAATAGTTGCAGTTGTTAACTGACCTAAATGGACCTATCACAGACTCAAGTAAAAACCAGCAACTGCCCAACTAGATTTGCACTGAACTTGCTTAATCACTGAAGATATACCTATCATATTGTCCGAGAATAGAATTGGTTTAAGGGACAATCTACAGGAAACCGTGGTTTTCATCCCCATAACTGGGTTTGCACATTTTCCATTAGACCAACTCTAGGATATTCTCGTTGTACGTGAGCTGGACAGCATATGATTGATGCTTCACCTGCAGCCTGCTCAGCTCGAGTCCCTCGTAGCGCGGCCAAGTGCAACGCCGCAGTGGGCGCTTCAGATCGAAGAAGGGGCGCGCGTTTGCGCTTGATGTTCGTTTGCAAATGCAGCCACACCAAGAGTTACTTGGATTTGCTGATGAACCGGTCAACAAAACAACAGGTGAATCCATGGATTCTCAATAAAAAGAGGGAACGTCACAATCACCCTTGCTCAAAACCAGGATATCCGATGGCTGTACGTGTATCATTCCACTTTCAGAACAACCGGCGGGTATGTTTGGCGTCTGATAGTCGAAGTTCACTTCGAGGAAAGAACATGGTGCGTTCGTCTGGATTCCTCTGCTCGAGTCACCTGGATCGTCATGTTGACATGTTTGCTTTCCTCAATCGACCTCACTAGACACCTAGTTCCCAGTTCCCAGCTACCAAAAACTCTGGCAGCTGTGGCATCCCAGGGGTTTTCCATCCCAGGCTGCGTCTTGTTCTCTCCTTCACTCCCGGGCCTTGGACGGCTAAGCCAACAGTCGAAGCATCCTCGGATGGGCGATTTCGCGAGACCAGTGCGGGCCGGTGTTTCCGAGACAACCGATGACTCTGCTGTGCGCAGCACCGGTTACCGGTGGTGACTCTGCGAGGTTTGGGACACACAACACTTTGCCACGCAGCACTTCACCGAAGAAGAAGGCATCAAAAATCACGTTGAGGATGATCATGGACAGTGCATCCAAACCTTGGAGCAAGTCTGCAAGTCTGCCAGCGCAGTCCAAACGGTTGCCTGTAACAAGGTTCCTAACATGCGGGTCTACTATGTTGTACCTAATCTCCATCCAGCAATATTCCAACAGGCCATCTTCCACATCCTTGACAGTCTCAGGAAGAGTGTGAAAGAGCTATAATATATATATATATATATCCCCTTCTAACTGTCCACACATTCATCATTTCTACTTACTACATTCTTACTACAGTATATCCGAAAACCTATTGACCAACCACTTCCACCAAACAGTCCAATCCCGGTCTTCTCGTCCTCTTCGTACTTCCTCATCGCTTCTGAAGCACCCGCTTCACCACCCGTCTTCCTCGCGCGCGCGTCCACCGCATGCGTCCGTTCCGAGATGAGCCACGTCCAGGGTCGATGAGCTCGGTGTAGTCCAAGGAGATGCTCAGCAGCACGAAGAGCTGAAACACCTCGTTTTGCGCAAAGCTGATGGCAGTTCCAGTTGAGGTTTTGCTGTGTACCAGGTCACCAAAAAGGACTCACCTGATGTGTCAGTGGGTACCGTTTTCTGGGATAGCCCATGGGGTTCCTTTAGGAACGGTCTTTTTCGGAAAGCAGCTGGACTCGTCCGACTTAGGGATCTCCCAAACAGGACACCCACACAGTCCAGCCGAACTCGTCCGTAGAACTCATCGTTTTCGAGGTAGTTACTAGCTCAACACCGCGAGAAACAGCGAGATGCAGCCGAACCCGTCTCACACAAAAAGACCATGACGACACAAACGGCATATGACTGGTTTCTTTCAGTTTCTGAGCGCACGAGCGCACAGGAAGGAGTGTTCGAAAGGAGGGAACCGGTGGGAACCATGGGACATGTAGATACGCAAAGCCAACCGATGGGGACGAATGAGGCACAGGGAAGGATGAAAAAGAAGCCCTATGCCAATGACGGTTGCATTGAGCTGTACCTTTGGGAGGTCAGGTGATAAGGTCACCGGTTGGACTAATGTGTCATAATGTGTCGTAATTAATCTAAACTTTTGATTAATAACGCCCCCATATGAAGAGGTGTTTCATGTTTTTTCATTCAAATGTGGGGTTTTACTCATCAGGAGTCAATGTTCCTAGGGATCTCTCGGGCATGTTCCCAAATGGAAAAGACCAACTGCTGAGAAAACATGGCCATGGCCTGGCACTATGCGAAGAAACGGGTGTCGAAGGATTCTCCTATCTTTTGCGTGTAGAGGTGAAAGTGGGTGTCGGAGCACGATCAAACACCTTCAAACGGTTTTGGGCATGGCCTTGGCCCGGCATCGTTCACCCAAACCTCCAAACGAAGGAGGTCACCAGGTCTGTGCGCATCCACATGCCTTCCCAAATGCCTACATCAAAGTGTCTCCAATCACCCTCTCAATCAGGTGAATGTGGAAAAAAAAACAGCTTAGGGTTTAGCGAGGCTTATAGGGATGTTTAGGGTATATCTAATGAACTGTGTTTTCCATATAGTAATACAAGTACCCGGACCATCCGACCATCTGGGTGTCGTGATCTGTCGTGTTCTTCCTCCTGGGTAGTCCGGATAGGGTAGGTCCAGCCAGGTGACCCAGGGATGGCGGGATGGGGTCCGGAGGGGATCGATGGGTCGATATGGATGTGTCGGACCTGGGTCATGGCATGAAACAAATTCCTCTATTTGAAGGGATGAATTTTTGCTTCCATTGGTTGGGTGGTTTTTGGGGTGCCATGACACCATGGCAATGACCCTATGTAGTCCCTATCTCTTCGTCCCAAGGGCCCACGAGATGGCAAAGGCCAAGTTGGAGGAGTTGGGATCTTCCAATAGCTCGCGGATCCTGAGAGAATGAGCCACGAGCCAGGTGATTCGGAGAATGGGGCGAGCTCCGTCCCATTCGAAATGGAACGTTACTTCCGAAGAATGCTTCAAAGAGCGAGATTCATGGATGTCTTCATCCGCAATAAAACTCTTGTGGGTCTCTCCTAGGCCGCCGTCTAAGTCACAAATCTAGCCCTCCTGTCCAGCGCTTTTTGGCCTTTACGGGTGGTTGTTGCTCTCCTTCCCTGCACAAGGATTGCATCACGTGGCCCGGCAATGCCGGCCAGGTCGTGTGATTCTTCAGCGGCGGGACTCACTGACAGAGAGCCCGAGATCAGTGGCAAAGTATGGATTCAATCCAACAAAAATCCCTATCAATCCTATCACCTACAACATCCTGCATCCATGTGCATCCCACCCAGTGGCAGTGGATTTCACTGCAAATGCAACCGTTTTTCGGAGTCGAAAAGTCAAAGTTTCCCTGGGAAGTTCCGAAGACTCCGTCTAGAAGACTCCTATTTTCGGTGATTAGGTCTTTTGGGGTACGGATGCAGGTCGTTCATCCATGTCTATCCTTTCCCCACGGCGAGATGGGGTGGCTTTGGAAGGTGATGATGTTTGTGGAAACTGAAGGTTGAGCACCAAAAACTGTCCGAGGCGGAAGCGACATCTTATGGCATCTTTCCAACGACTTACGACCTCACAAAGGCCCAGTCGGGGCAGCACACCCCCCCTCCACGCGTGCGAATCCCAGTCTCCAATCCGCCCGCGTGCGAGTGACCAAGCCTGAGCCGAGCGAAGACTCATCTCCGAGTTTTAAGGGATGGATTACTCCTGTTCCTTAAATCAAAAAAAACGTCCTCCCCTCTATATATTATAGTGGGCTCGAGGCTGCAGGCGTGGGGGTGCATTGCTACTGACGGGCCTCATTCCCTGAGGCCGGATGATGACGGTTAGGCACCAGGCCTTCGAAAATACCAGGCCTGCATCCTCTGGTGTTCAATGGACAGGAGTCGGATGCAGTTGCTGACTGTTGCTACAGTATAGGACACCCCACGGGATAGATCCACCAGGTCCACCAGGGCCGTTGGACCGTTTGACCGTGCCCGGTCGGTCTCCCCAAAGCCAGTGCTCGACGGGAAGATCGGAAAGCCGGTCTGCTCGACAGGAGTGAACACCAGTTTCCGGTTTGATGGTCCCTTTCCAATCCTTTCCAATCAATTCATTGATCATCAAGCTGAGGAACCATTGCCAACATTTTGTGGGACACCTGCGACTTGAAGGACTCCGGTTTCGATCCATAAGCAAACAAGAAAGGAGCTGAATCACCAATATACAATGAAGCACAAACCCTTTCACATGAATCCATGGCCTAGAAGTGCTTGGCACACCAAGGGTTGGGGCCATAGAAGATTATAGAAGTGCTTGGTGCACCTGTGAATCCCTAAGGTTTGGGAACCTCTAACCAGTGACCCAAAGAAGGCTACACAAAGGATGTCACAATGTTTGAAGCCTCAAACTGTGCGGCACATGTTTGATGCATCTGAAGTATCTGTTGGCAACCTTTGGGTAAATATCTCCTATTCATGGTGAGGTTGGTCTAGGTGCACTGTCTTTATGACCTTTATGAGGAGGTTCTAAGTCTAAGTTGCTTGTTCATTGTTTTTGATCAGACTGCTAGGGAGGAACTGCATGATTCTTAAAGAATGCTTTCCAGGCGTTGCCGAATCCATCGAAATCCAAGATCATGACATCAAAACCCAACGAATGAGATGAGACGCAATCCCAACTCTTGGTTCCTCTGCTTTCCGAAATCTGCTGGTGTCTTTACTCACCCAAAGTCTTCTTGAGATGTCTTTACTCACCCAGAAGTCTGTTGAACAAGAACACCTCGCTTACTCTCCGATCCAGTGGTGTCCTTTTGGGAAGAATCGATGGGTCGGTTTCCAGTGACCAACCTATTGCCTGTGCACCAACTAGTAGGGTATCCTCTCTTGTTAATCAACCAACTATAGTAAATCAACTATGCTCCATCAACCAACTATAGTAAACCAACTATTACTAGGGTAATCAACCAACTAGCAAAAAAACATCCTATGCTCCATCTCCTTCCTTAGCGACCGACGCGGATGAACAACGCGACGTTAAAACCCGAGAGGCGCATCATAGGATCCATCTCTGCATTGGGGTCGGTCAAGGCCTGACCGCCCCTTTTTGTGAGACCGGGTGACCAACGGTGGCGGTTTGCCCAGAGCGCATGCGAAATAGAGGTAGACGTTCCTTATAATGGACCAAGTTAGCTGCATGTTATGCTGAATTGTATGGTATACCAAAAAACAGGTTCTTGACTATCTCCTAAAATCATGACAAATTGAACAAAAGTCCATGAATTTATTGAATGGGTCGTAAGTTTATAGAACAAATGGTCGTCCTCTAGGCTTGATTAATAAGAACTACATATGAGGACATCTATGGTTTTAACAATCCATGTCTGGGGTGTGTTTTGCATATCAAGAGTCTACATTAAGGCTATTAAAGCTGGAGACCAATTCACCTATAACCCTGGATCTTGGTATGGTGAGATCTGACGGGACCTGTTTGGACGACCTGCTACCCCTATATATAAAATAGTTTATATATTTATATGAATTTATATAATTGTTTTTGTATGTTGTGACAATGTTGTTTTAATGGATCTGCCATGGCAGGGATGTTTATATAAACCGGCTGGATAAGAGGAACAATCATGTCTGTTTTCAGATCGGTAAACCGAGATGTTCCGAGAGATGTTCTCGTTCAGATCGGTGCCAAGGGTGGCAAGCCCTCTCTTCAGAAGGTGGCAAGTGGTCGAGCTCGGTGTGGATGCCTGAGGAAACACTTTTGGGGTAAGCACCACACATGTGTTCTTGCAATGTCACACCAATCGTTAAAGCCCAAACACTCCATGGGACTGCCATATATATACCTACATTGACCCCTCAAACCACCCCAATGTAGGCATATATGGCAGTCCCATGGAGTGTCTGGGAAGGGACAAGTTCGCGGAACTTTGAACTTTGGTATCTCCACCCATCCTCCACACCGATTCCGAGCAGTTCCTACTATAGTAAACATGTCCTGTGAACTGTCGGAACTGTGAGCATCTGTGAGCCCATTTCCAGCGACAGTATCGAGTTCAGGGACCTTTCCTCTGCACCAATGGAGTTCACCTTCTTAACCCGAGGGCCCTAGGGCTCCAACGACCTCCTAAGGTGGTTGGGGTAGGTTCTGGGGGTCTAACCACCGAACCTGAGGATATGGGCCAGGAGCCCTAGGGTAAAACAAGGTAACACCACGGCAATTGCGGTGCCAGGTCGGACGTTTGCCCGCCGTCGTCCCGTCCCGCAGGTTGTGCATGTTGGAATTTCGGACGATGATCCCGACATCGCAGTGATCTTTACCGATACTGAGACACTCCATGGGACTGCGATATATAACTACATTCGGGTGGTTTGAGGGGTCAATGTAGGCATATATGGCAGTCCCATGGAGTCGGAGTGTCTGGGTATAAATACAGGCCCGTATTTAGGGTGTGACGAGGTGATCTCAGTGATCTCTCCCAGTGTTACAGATCATGGGACACACCCTAAATAGGGATATACTAAGACTCGGGTCCCCCGAGACTCGGGTCACCCTCCCGGGTCCCGCCCACTAAGGAACCCCAAAACCATTGACCGTCACGGCGTCGGACATTCCAGTGAACCCTCGCGGTTGACGCCTCTCTGGCTTGGAGCTGCCAGGCGACCTGCAACGAGTGAAAAAGTGGAATCCGTGGAAGAAACATGGACCTCTCCAGCCAGTGGCTGCCTATGAATGATATGGGGTCTATCCATGTCATCCAGGGCCCGTTTTGGATGATGATGCTTAGGTTGCAGGCCTTGTTCAAAAATTATGAGAAGTGTTTACTGACTGTTACAGTTACAGGCAAAAGATGGTCATAGGACAAACCCAATCTCTTGCCTTTGGGGCAAAGGTGGGCAGCCCTGGGCTGGATGTTCCTACAAGTCCTTCCTTCTCAACTTTCTCCGAGTTCTCCCCAAACATAACACGGGTCCGATGTGTGTCAAATCATGTTCTTTCGCCTGAACCATACGACCCCACAACATCAAAACCACCCCACCACCCAACCATCTGGACTGCAAAAACCACCTCTCGCGGTGCTCATACGCTTTGCCCCAGCCTTGAGGTCCATCGCTTGCATGGGCTTCCCCTTCCGCCGCGGTGTCGTCTGCAAGCGCGCCCGCGCAGCAGCGTCGCCGGCGCCGGGCTCCGGCACGGACAGCGCGGAGCCGCGCTTGAAGACCACGGTGTGCTGGGGAACCACACCTCAGCACCGGTGTTCTGGTGTTCAGTCATGAAAAATGAAGGTTTCAAGTACCTGTTTTTTTGTTATAGTTTTTTTGTTTAAGAAGATCATGATGTCTCATTTTCTAGAGTAGTTTGGAGAGTTCAGCTGTAAATTATAGACTATGCTATATAGATTAATAAGATCGAGTTTTCTTACTCAGCCACAGACTTCAAATACTATCTAACTGGAGGAGTGCATGTTTTCTGTGGAGGAAAATAATCTTCCTAGCCGAGGTGGCACTTTCCGTGTGACCGGATGGGTCAAGAAAGCTCAGTTGGTGTGCTTGGCCCCCTGAATTTGACAAGACCCACTTGTATAGTGAGTAGACTAGAGTAACGTTCTGGTGTCGGGAATGGCTATTAGATAGGTACGAAATCTGTTCAGCCGGGCATTCCCAGTGACTGGGGGTGGCTATTGATAGCCGTGCCCATGATCCAGGACACTGGATCAACGCTCTGGATGCACCGAATGCACCGAAGACCGACCCACGTGTCGGCTCGATCTCAGAGCCACTGGTGGCATAGTCCTTGAGGGAGGCGCTGCTATATCCGCTCGGTGCACCACTGCTGCCCGGCCAGCCTTGATGGCCAAAACGGGCTTCCGAGGTCTCGAAAGGTGGAGCTGAACATCCAACGAAGGTGGGTGCTTCTACCAGCAGAACAGGCGCCCTTTCGGCAGGCAGGAATTCTGAAAAGTAAACATAACTGGAACTCCAAGGGGGTGATGCGGGGTGCTTCATGGTAGTTCGCAATATGCTTTGGCCACGGAATTCCTGCTATACCGTGTAATTATATATATTACCATATATAAATATAGTTTAATATATAATATATATATAAGTTAATATGAGGCCGCAGTACATGCACCCATACAAGGTACGCCCTTCTGAGGATTTGACCCACCAGCCTGGTTCTGTGTCCTGACCAACCATTGACGAACTGACCAACTTGATGTATTCAGGGTCGGTGTTGACCGACCGCACCTTTCCTGGGGGGCAGTCATCCATGCACCACCGCAATGCGGCTGAGTCCGTCTCCGTCCAAAGCTGCCAAAGCCGCCGGGATCGCCGGACTGCACCAGCTGATTGAGCCCGGACGGTGGCACTCGATCTCCTCACAAGTGAAACCAAAGGCACAGTCCCTATATGGATCCAGCCCAACTGCTTCGTGCATTCCGTGGACTGGTGGGAAACAAGCCGTGGACTCTGGTAACTGTGGACTCAAAGCTTCACCGAAATTGATGCTCTCTTTTCCGTTTGGCAAACAAAACAACCTTCCCACACCCCAGCCCCCAACAGGGGGTGGCGGAAACATCTCTGAAATATAACACACAACTCCATAAAATTACATAGCCCAAACGCATTCAATTCCGATTCACTTGATCCAGGGTCAAACCAATGCCCACATCAGGGAAAGGATTGGAAACGCACCGGTGTTTGGATGATTTCCAGGTAGTGCTTTTTACTTCGCCTTGGACCACGTTGGACTGCTGGTGGAACTGCGTGCTCCTTGATCCGTGCGCACAGAGTTCAGCAGCTCTGGCTCATGCTCCACGCCCAAATCCTCGGGTCAAACCGCTTGGATCTCGGTCAACCCGAGATAAGCGTCCGGACATGTCCGAACGTCCGGACTGCGCCGCGTTTGAGTGGTGGGTCCAACGGCCGCGTTTGCGGAATCCCAACACCCAATAGTGGCTTTCTGGTTGGCACATAGTTTCTGTAGCTACTTTGCCTAGGGTGAAGGGAGATAGAACAACATGACATAGCTCGAAGTCAGATTGCATCAACTCATGCATCAATTGACTCACACTGCAAGACCCAGGCACAAACAGGTGGGAGTGAAACAACAGTTGACAATCCTGGAGCGCATCAAAAGCTCTATATACAAGCTTCTATCAACGACTTCTACCATTGGACCATTCTACCAGTGTCAGTCCAGAATTGGTCTCAAAAAGGGCCTTCCAAACTATGACACTGAAGAGATCTGAAGAGGAAAAATAACACAAACAGTTCTTGCGGTCTCCCTTCCTAATGTCCACTTCGGATTAATAAACCACCCCTAAACAAAGATAAACATCGCTGTTTTGCTTATCTCTATGGTGCGCTTGGGATTGAACCATTCTAATTCATGTTTGATTGCTTGCCGTTTGATTTTGCAGGAATTTGCTTATCTGTATTGTGTGCTTTGCTGATTCAGCTGCAAATTTCCGGTGCTTGCTTTATAAATCCGTTGCTCAAAAACCGTCAACGATTGAACAAAATCACTCTGGGAAGGGTAACCCCAATGAAGCCACTACACCCTAAATGACTTGTACCCCTTAGATCCCCTTAGATCTAAATAGTTTTTGCGGCTGAGGTATCCCCCTCCACAATATGAATCGCCTTTTCATCCCCATTCCAGCAAAATCCCCTTTCCATAAAATTACTATTCCCCTTATCTCAATTCCAGCAATACAAAACCTTTTTCATCTCCATTCCAGGAAACTTCTCTCCACTTACAAATTCCCTTTTCATCTCAATTCCAGAAATCTCTCCAAGATTGGGGATTTTGGAGGTTTAAAAACAAAAGTATTCTTTTTTCAGGGGCCAAGTGTGGGGGAAGGAGGGTTCCATTGCTTATTCATCAGAGTTGGTAATTAGGGCCCCAACATGCTCCCTTCCATCGGTGGAGCGACCAGTTGGACTCTGCGAATGGCTTCACTTGATCCTTTTCTGAACCTCTCCTGCAAGTCTTTCAGGTGTATCTGCCCCAGGCCAGGCTCCAGAACGATGCTCCTGGCTCTGCACTCACACCCACCAGCTCTGAAGCACCTGCCTCAAACCCGACCGTCCCGGCCATAGCGTTGGAGTGGCTCCGCTTTCATGCCGCTCCTCCGACTTGTCAAACCTGAAGCCACGGAGCGGCCCCCGTTCCGGGGCCCGGCGCTTCGGCGGTTCGACCGTTCCGGCGGTTTCGGCCGCGAAGACCAAGAACAGCAACTCACGAACTCACTGACTCCATCAGCATAACATCTCAATCTCGTATATCTGGAACATCCATGCAACTTTAACACAAATCAGCTTTAACACGCTCACATACTCGTTAAGCATACTCTAAGCGTACTCTAACAACACTCCTTTGCAAGTGGGACGCCAATGACTTTTGTGCGGATAAATAACACTCCCCACCTCTTTTCACCGGCTTAGCCGTTCGGAAAGCTGATTCACCCGCCTGTCCGAGGGGATCATCTGCAAAGGAGGAGCAGCACCTGGGTGGCGTGGCGTGGGAAAGACCGTGAACACGAGAAACTACCGGGGCCTCCCGAGACTATATCTGTATAGGAAAAATGGTGTAATAAATATATGTAGTAATTCAAACATTGTAATAAATATATGTGTTACTACAATGTAGTAATACTCGAGGTTTCAAACATTGTAGTAATACTCGAGGTTTCAAACATTGTAGTAATACACGAGGTTTCAAACATTGTTGGCACGGACCTCAAGGGGCCCATATCAATCACCAAGTTCTTGGGGACTGTGCAGTATGTATACATTAGATCATTAGAGTCTAATGGGTACAGTCGTACCTGATGTTTTTCTATAGGGTCATGACATGTCATGATGGGTCCATTTAGGAACAGGTACACTCCGACTGATTCACATCACGTGGAAATGGACCATGGCCAGCCAATGGGAAGACCATGTTCTTTCCTCTTCAAATATGGTGGTTTTTCCATTTCCATGATTATATAGTGAATTAGAGGAGTGAGTGAGTGACGCCATTCATTCAATGAACTGATGTTTTCTTAGGATTCCTTTGATAGATGGACTTGCTATTGACAGAACCTGGCTGCTCACAAAAGCACGGTCTTGGATGATAAGGCTCCAGTTGGAGGCCTTGAATGCTGCATCCCCAACGGGGCCTCCCTGCCAGCTTACCTTGCACCATGGACCACTTCAGTTCCAAATCACTGGAACAAACTAGTCACTCCACCCGCCCCTCACCCACCGCCAACTCCGGACGCAGGCACCGGAGGAGCGGTGCGGCCGGCGCGAAGCGAAAGAGAGCCCGGAGCCCGTGGAGTTCACCTGGGGAGGTGGGCAGGGCTACTAGGAGCGTCTGGACGCTACGAACGGGACAAAGGGAGACGTGGGTGAGTTGTGAACTTCGAAAGCGAAAGCGTCTGAGTCGTAGGATCCATGTAGAATCCCCATGGCTATGGTCTATAGTGTTCCAGTATGTTCTAGTTTCAGGATGTTTCAGGTAGACCTCAACCTCTGTTGGGATGCGTTTTGGGGCATCTGGGGAGGTTCTTGGTAAGGGTTGACCATGTTCCTTCTGGGGGTTGAACTGGCAGTCTCCCGCGTTTTACACGGTTTTACCGTTTCACCCACAATGACACCCGTGCAAACAAAAAAAAACACAACTCTCGAAGTGTCGGGCTCAGCCCCCTGTGTCGAACAAAGGGACAGAACACAGCCGTCCATTTTCCAGCCTGGCGCTCTTTTTGGGGTGTTGGAAGCAGCTTGGACCGCTTAGGTTGTTGACCTCCCAAGCGGTGACGGTCGAAACGAACCATCGACCCTGAAGCTCGTCTCGTCTCCGCTTCACTGCCCCGCTCCGCTCCGCCCCGGATCCGCTTGGAGCAGCCAACCCGCTCCAACCCGCTCGACCGGTTCGGCAGGTCGGCGTCAAAGTGTGGTCATCCAAGGCCAGGTTTTACGGTATCGTGGTGGACCACAGCATGCTCAGCTGCTAGGTGGAGGGGTCCTGCTACATCCTGCTTTCCCAAAATGGACGAAACATCGCAAGCTCATGAAGGGAGAAAAAACACAACACGTTACATCACCACCTGACGAATCGAATTGCTACAGTCGTCGGTTTTTGATGCTTTTTGTTGGCCAAAAAAGACGTTTCCAAGTTCCGTCTCCCCAGGTAGAACAAAAACAGTCCCCAACCTACCAACAATGTGTTAAAAACATAACCAAAAATCACCTTTCGCGGTGGTGTTTTGAGTCTCTAATTCAGTGAGTGGATGTGACGACGGGGCACCGTTCGGCACCCGGACAAGAAAAACGGCTGGAAACACCCCAGAAGATCCCCAAATGGATTGCTCTGCCAGTGGCAGAGAAGTCATGGACACCATGGGTTGGGTCAAACATCTGTCATCTATCGTCCATGTTGAGACGTTGGTCCGTCTGCCCCATGTCCCCGCTCTCCATGTCTCCCCATGTCTGCCCGTCTGCCGAATGACGGTGGAGTTGCGAGCGAGTGCGGGAGACGTGAAGGAGCCCCCAGCGCGTGGGATCGGGTGACTGATCTCGTGGAAGATCGCATCGAGCTTCTCCTCGCTGCGCGGCGCAGCGTTCGCTGCGCCGGTTGGGTGGTCCATACACATCCGGGGTTGGTTGACCCGTCTCCAATGATGAAAGGAGAGTCTTTCACCGGTCTCCAGGTCGTATTCCTGGAATAGACACATACTTAGACACATCTCTTCCTTTCCAGTTGCTGAACAATCTTATTGGGATCAAGGTCATCTACAATTGCACCTTTGCTCCTATCAGCCATGGAAGGGTCTTGAGCCCTGCGTTGCCAAGTGGCCAACAGATGCTCCAAACGAGCATCGATGCTGGCCAAAACGCCTCACGTGCCAAAGTCGCAGGCTGATTCATGTTCATGCCAGTGAGCACCTCCATGTTAGTAGATTGACAAAACCAATGGACAAGCGCTTCCCAACAACCGAGGTAATTTATCACGTACACACATCCTAATCATTCCTAATCATGATAAATCACCTATATAGATCCTTCTGCAGTGACAAACTCAAGGATAAGCAAACAACAGAGGAGATCCTTGACTTCAATGTACTTTGCAACAACTATTTAACCCCCCAGCGTACACGGGCTTTCTGTGGGGGCTAGTTACATGATTCATGATGCATCAGCTTACTACGCCGTCACAGGTTGTTGATGACATGACCTGCGCAAAACCCAGCAACTTCTTATCAAATACTGTACATGACTTGACATCATCCTGCATTCACCCCTTACGTGTCAAAGGAAACAACACCAATCTGCAAACGCCACCAAATCCCTTCAACGACGAGAGCTTTCAAAATAAGGACCTATATTTAGATGTCCTAAGCCAAGCGGATACATCGGAGAACATGAAGAACTGGGAGACTGGTTGGTGGTTTCAACTCACAAACAAATCATTATACAGTATATCATTGTATACCATCCCAATTGTAAAGGTTGATATCCGAAACCACCACCTAGGGAATCCTTATTCACTTTGTATCACTTTGGCTGGTCTGGAGCGTGGACAAACGTTGTGCCATTCAAGCACACATCTGTTCGCTGCCAGTTGAGCAACTTGATCTCGACGGGTGCCGAACGGTACCCTAGAAAAAAAGGGGCATGACCCATGGATACGCCAGGTAGATTTAAGAAAACACACACACCAGGTATATGTGACATATAGCTAAATAAAACACCAGGTATATATATGTGACATACGACTGTGCCCATTTTCTACGACCAGGTCGACTCCAGGACAAAAAACGAAGCCTGGACTGCCCAAAGCCCGTCTCGTTCGGTGCCTGAGCCCTTCAAGTTCTCCTCGACCATCGCTCGTGGTCTCGTGCGTGCGAACGTGGTGGTTTCAGTCTGCTTGGAAAGGCTGCTTGACATTGTTGACATCACAAAAAAAACAACAAAACAACAAAAAACAACAACAAAACAACAAAAAAACAACAAAAAACAACAACTCCACCTTCCAAACATTCACCAGCTCTTGGAGTGAGTCCAGAAATTCTGGGACCCAACGATCGAAGATTCGGATGGTCTTTAAAGGTCTTTCTGTTCTGGTTTTGTTTGACTTGCGGATGTTGAAACTGGTTGGTGATATTTGACAAACCAAACGAAGCACACGGGGTGATTCTCGGGATGGGTTGGAGCCGCCTTTGGAAAAGCTCCATGATAGATAGTGCTGCAAGCAACTTCTCGATTCTATCGTTGGACCCAAGATTTCTACGTGCGTTTAAGGCACAGATATTGCAGCTCACCAATGCTTACAATATATTGATCCAAGGGCAAAAATGGGCAAAGTATATTTTTTGGGGTTCATTGGATGCTTCGTTCGCGGGCAAATTTTTCTTCGCTGGAGCAAGAATCAAAATGCGGAGCAAGGACATGGCAAGCGGAGAAAATGAAGCTCGACATGCATCCGTAAAATAATTGCAACCTCCATGCAAACGTTGTTGTGACCTTTTCAAGGGCGGATCAAGCTCAACAAAGAATACAGCTACCCTTAGAGGAACTCTTCTGCCGATGGGATCTTTTAAGCGGACCCCAGCGAGAGGCTTCTTTCCAGGTCGACAAGTCAACCGTTTCACGAAGCCCAGGACCAGGACCTTCAAAGTGACCGTTTGAGATCGAATGAGGCCCCATCCCAGACACTCCATGCATGCCATATATGCCTACATTGACCCCCAAAACCACCCCAATTGTAGGCATATATGGCATGAGTGTCTGGGTATAGCCACCGCTCAGCCCTGTGGACAAGTGTCGCGACCACCGGCAAACACCTAACGTGCCGTCACACAGATGGTGCGAACATGTCCGCCGTTTTTGGTTGAAAACAACCATCCCCTTGTAACGTGAGGGCTCTTTCCACAGCCGATGCCACAGGGAAGAGACAGATGGGCCCCTTTTTGGATCAGGCCTATGAACCTAAGGACTGGTAACTGGTCTGGAGAACATGGTCAACTGTCTTGAAACAGTTTCTGTCCTGGGAACCGCTGGTGTGAGCCTGTTCTCCATCTGATCGCATGGGAGAACACTCGTGCACCAAACTGAAGTAACCGCCAAAACCGTGCGTTTTCCATCCTAAACAACGGGAAGAAACGTGCGCGGAACGCTGGTGTTCTCTCACCGGTGCTGTTCTCTCGACCGGGCCGCTCGGAAACGTCCGGCAACGACCCGGCGGGGCGACGGTGGAACGAGTGGAACGACCCCGTCTCTCTAACCTACTTTCATCGACCTGTCTTACCTGTATCCCCCAAGAGCGCACCATGAGATCGACCTGCGATGACCTGCACGGCTAGACTAGAAGAATCAAAGCACCGCAACATCACACTAGTAAGCTTTAGAAGGGTGCAGTACCGTCAAGCACGCCCAGCAACAAGCTACGCTTCTTTTGCTACGCTGCTACGCTTCGCTGTGGCATTCTCACGGCCATCACCCGGTCTTGCACTTCATGCAGGCGGGAAGGCCTCAAAGTTGCCAGCAGTTGTCGTGCCATCCTCACAACACATCATCAGTAGTGGCAAGTCCATTGATACTCTGAAAAGATCTAAAAGCGGACAATCTTGAGGGTGGGGGCCAAGCTACCTTCTATATCCTGAACCTCCATGGCTGAAGTGATCATTCTCATTGCCCTTCAGGTTTAGGACTCTGTTCGGGAGTTGAGGGGGACCCGGCATCGGATCGCGAGTCGGCTGCGGATGGCTTGAGTCGAGACCTCGGGTTGGCTGCGGATGCCGACGAAAAGAGCTCCAAGCATGCTTCCAGGTTCTGAAAGACTTTCTCTTCAGGGACAACGTCTTCAAAGACCCAAAGAACCCAACACTCTCAGACTACTTGCGCAGTACCAAGACCATCCTGTCTGGGTGTCCGACTATGACTACGCTACGTAGGGACCTCCAAACAGGACAACCAAACAGGATGGTCAAGGTATATCTTATGGCACCAAAGGTCATCCTGTTATATACCAGACCAAGAGGTACCAAAGGTATGGCACTAAAGGTATCTCTGTTACTTGGTCTTATGGCACTAAAGGTATCTCTGTTACTTGGTCTGGTCTTGGCACCAAAGCTTTGCGTCGCGAGGTCCGCGTCGGTCGGTTTGGCATGACGGCGCAGCTGACCGCGCGGTGCTGGTGATACGGACGGCGGCTCGCGCCGTGGCGCGCACAGTGGAGACCTTGTGGAGCTTCTTATCGGAAAACTTGCGGAGACGATGCACACGATGCACGGTGAAAGGCACGCAACTCGCTGAGTGTGCTGTCAATTTCGGCTGAAACACCCGTTCTACAGGCTGAAACGTCCACAAAAGTGAAAAGAACGCGGGATACCGAAACCATGGAGACAAACATGCTGAGGTGGCTGGGCAAGTGTTCTTTCTCCTCTTTGTTTGGAACCATTCGCTCAGAAGTATAGTATTATCTAGTTTGCATTCCTTTCCTCCCGGCCACTCTTCCGATGGATTCATATCTATATGTATAAAGTTAACTCTTCAATACTTCAAATATTGAATGCACGAAAGACCACACAAACATAAAACATCTCATTTGCGACCCGCTCATGCATTCCTAATGGAATATCTGGACATTTCTCCCATAGCACCGTTCGGTGCCTGCAGTTTAATGCTGCTCCCCCTCTCTCCACAAGGATTCGTTTGTTTCCCGGCCAGGCCGGCCATGCGTGAAAAAAAACAGCGGCAAGAACTCATGGACTCCAGAACCGGCCGTGCGGATTCAAGGGAATTCCAAGCTGTTTCGCATTAGGTAAGATCAACTGAACAAGTTGAACGAATACAATAGAAAAAATCAACACATTGGCATAATATGTATATCGCTGTTTGTCACTTTCATGTGACATCTCCTCTTTGGGAGTACTATTACTCTGGGAGCTTGATAGAACGCCTGGCATTCATTATATACGATGAAAGCATACCCCCCCAAAAAAAGTTTGTCCTTACCTCTGTGCCATCAAGGATTTGATGATCAATACATATCAAAAGCGTATTCCAGGCGCCCAGCAGCAAATCCTGCAAATCTGCTGTCATGTGGAGAAGATGAAGCATAAACAATAATTCGGTTCTAGATCTACTCACGTCCCATAGCCCCTTGAAACGATCCTTCACATCACCATGTTGTCTCCCCACTTGCGTGGGCAAAAGGATCCATGTCCATCCTTTTCTTTGCATCATGGGGGACCCAAGGATCATACAACAAAAAGAGGAACACTCCAAGCCAGGTTCCCACCAGTAGCAACCAGTAGTAGCAACCAATATATATATATATATGAGTTAGCGTCAAAAATATATGCTTGGAGTGTTTTCGTTTCACTTTTGTCAGTCCCCTATCGTTTTTCATGGTTTTGGATTTTGCAAGTATGTATACATACGGGTATCGTTTCTTGTCAGTCCCCTATCGTTTTTCAAGGAAAATCACGAAAGCAACACAGAGATGAAACGTCCCTTACTAAAGTGGTTGATGATAATTTTGAGGTTGCCTATATATATATGTATATATTTATATCATATCCTAAAGATATTGATTAACTTCTCCAACTCCACCAGAAATGGCACCAAATCTGAGCCAAGAGATTACTTTTTCAATTTGTGGATCGGCCATCGGTTCAACGGAGCCAGTTTATATTTTATCACGGTAACTCGGCTCCTTCTCCCGCAGCATTTCATCCCGTTTCTCCCGGTTCCGGGACAAAGGAATGTGGCGAAGGCGAGTCTTGCATTCTAAGGAATTCTCTGCTGCACAGGCCAGGTGACCTACCAGGAAAAGAATATATATGTACTGTTTTAACTATATACCTTGCATACTTACATAAATATATTTTTTTGTTTTACGATATACTAAGTGAACTGATACTCTCGTTTGGGGGCATCCATCTCCGTTCCGTTCCGCACAGCGAGAACATCGACGTGGCTGAACGGTCTCTCGAACGAACGGCAGCGGAAACGAGGACGAGTTCCGATCCCAGATCATCCATGGGACTGACATATTTGCATATATACAATTATATCCATTGGGGTGGTGTCACGGGGGGGTCGATGTATGGCATATATTCCAGTCCCATGGATGGTCTGGGACATGGAACGGCTGCTGGTTTTGTAGCTGTGAGCTGCGGAAACCAGCGGGAGAAACCACTGCACATGTTCGGGGGTCTTTGTGTAACAAGTTTTTCCTCATGCCAGCGGCGGGAACTCTTCTGTCTTCAGAGACTCTGATACCCAGCTGCGCCTGCCACAACAGACCAAGGCTTGGGTGGCTAGTATGCCGCCGATTTTCCAGGTCTTTGCACCAATGCAGGAGAAGGACGCTGAGAATCTTAAGTCCGAGAACTCCTGAGCATCACCCAATTCACACCAAAGAAATCATGAAAAAGGTGTTTCAACTCCGTCGACTCTTGGACTTCCCGTCTTCATTTTCACATAATCTGCGCAGTTCGTTCAGGGTCAAGTGTATCATTCGTACAGGAAGGCTAAGGCCCGTCCTCATCGGAAGACCATCCATCACAGGAAACACGGAATCCTGTTCAACAAGAGAGAGTGCAAACTCTGGATTGTCATCTTGGTGAACTCAGGAGTTGCAGCTTCTTCAGGTCCCAATAGCTGAGCGTCAGCTCTCGCGCTTGCGCTGAAGATAGCGTTGGCGTCGCTGGCGGCCTGCAGGGAGGAAGAGTACAACGCTTTGCCTCACGGGTTGGGTAGGACAAAAGTCCCAATCCAATGATGCTTGGCATGGCTCAAAATCCAAAGAAATCGACATGTCTTTGGATGCTCAACAACACGGCATATCTGCAAACCAACCAGTACCTGTACGGTTCTCTGCTAAAGCTGTGTTTACATAAGCCACATCTGTCCACCAAAAAGTGGGTAGATGGTATGACGAAGGCCTCCCAAAGCACCAATGATACAGCGACATGCAAATGTAGTTTTGCAGGGCTAACAGAAAACGTATTACATAAAAAACATCGGTTTGTCAACGCTGGATTGGAGACCCCAACAACAAAAAAACAACAGGTTTGATGAATTTGGTGCCAAGACTGGACAATCATGGAGACCCAAGTTTGGGGATGGCGACCATGCTTGCTTCAAGCACATGGCGCGAAACAGCTGTCCCCGCCTCATGCGAGGGATTCCCGCAAGTGATCCAAGTGGTGTAAGGCTTCACTGACCTCGAAAGCGCTGGTGCATGAAAGCCGAAGATGGGAGGCCTGCTTGAAGGATGGGAGGAGTTGACAAACATGTCCCATTCGGTTTGGAGGTTTGCTTCGTTCGCTCCTCGTACAGGTTGTGAACGTTTTTCCTTCCATCTATAATAGACTATATCGGACTATTGATAATTAATTAGATTAACTTATATCCAACATTGTCCAACTATATGCAGTATTATGCAGTGTTCTTCCCTTCATCCAGAAGGTAAGCCAGCCAAAAGGGCAAACATTTTGTGGACGTTGGAAGATCCAGGCATGCCCTCCCATCCACTCAAGACATGTCGCTACTGGTCACTGTTATGGCTTGCGTGCCGCGAGGGGGGGGCGGGCGGCATGACCAGTGGCAAACTCCACGTATAAAGGTGCCTCATTTATTATGAGACATGGCCGCTACGTAACGACGCCTCATTCAAATGAAGCTTCCCTGCGGCCAAAAAAACACTATTGACTATTGATACATTAATTATACAGTGACCCGGAAGATTCCCGTTCAAGCTGGTGCGATTTCAACTCTGGCAAGTTGAACATGCCACAAACCACGAGTTTTTCCACCCGGGTCTGTTCTTTGATCCAGGTTTGATGGCTCTAGTCCTTGATTTTCTCATCCCATTGATGCCAATACATACCAGTACATACCGATCCCGATCCCATCTCCCTAGTCAAACGTCCGTCCCCAGGCATGCCATCCTCCCCTCCCGCCATACGGGCCGTCGCCCGGCTCCAGCCGCCCAAGGCACACGTGTCCGGCTCACTTGGATGGACTTGTTTTTGTGCGCACCCTGACGACAAACCGCGGCAGATGGAGGCTCCGATAATTGGCTAAAAGAATAGCCACGATTCATGATGAACATGCAGGGTGTATGTTGGAGAATCATAGTTGCTAGATTTGAGCACAGGTTCTTATCCGCAAGACCGCGAGATTGGAGTTGAGACCAGGGCATCTATACAGAGCTTCTTTAAGGCTTGATGAGAAATAATGGACAATTGCTACGTTCAACTTCCAATGTCAATTCACTCATTTAAAGGGGCCTTTCCCCAAAACATATATATATATAGAAGACACAAGCTGAATCATAGTGTGGATGATCTTGGGAGACACCAGGACTTCATTCGATCTGTGGCTATTTAGTGGAACCACCAGTGACCAGCGCGTGGTTTGCCTGGATGGCGGCAAACACCGCACCTATCTCAGCGGATTTTGCAGTGGACTCAGTGGACTAAAGAAAATGCCCCAGGAGCTTTGTGTGCCTGACAAGAGGGGATGGGTCAACAACTGAAGCCCTGGTCGACCATGTCGCTTGATTTTGTAGGTAATTAGGTCAACCAAGGGGTAACCAAGGATCTTGGTGCGATCCACAACCATAATGTTATTCTGCTCTGAGTTTCCCTCTCCACAGAAGTGCATACAAAAACAGAGCTTGATGGATGCCTCAAAAGCATCTGCAGTCTAAACATAATCCCCTGACTTAAATCACCCCTAAAGAATCCTTATACTTATACCGTTACCTGAGGTTCGGTGGAACTGGCACAACTACCTTCTGATGTATGTTCCATTCAATTAGTGCCGTCTCGAATCTACTCAAGGCAAAGTACCTTCTGAGGAGATCGTTGGATATTCTGCACACTTTTGGAAAGCCATTCGGACATTTGTCGTTCAATTGCGGACAGCATGCCGTGCAAACTGCCCTGCAATGCCCTGCATGTCTCAAGATCTTACTGAGAATCGGGGGCTATTCCCACCATGCTGCTAAAGGTCCCTTTGGGAGTGGTTTTAGACATGTTTGAGTTGGGTGGGTATGGGCCCGAATTAATTCCAGTGGTTTTTCCTCATCTTTGTTGAGGCATGCCTCAACAAGGGGTTTGATTCCACCACCAACCCCAAACATGTGTTTCTTTGTTGCATCATCGACCGTCTGGCAGTCTGGGCGGCCTTCACATATTCTTCTGGGAAAATGTGGCGTAAGAACTCGTCATACTCAATGGTGCCACTCTGATCATCGTCAAACCTGGGGACCCAAGTCAAAACGCACATTTCGCCGCTGAAGCCGAAGCCGAAGCAGCGTGCGCGTCGGGTCCTGCGGTGTTCTCCGATGTCTACGCGGGTGGGAAAGCTGTGTGGTCAACGGACGGCCTTTAACGATCCATGCTACAAGTACCCATTTATACTGTCAGCAAATGACATGGGTCTGGAATATGGGTGAAAGTAATCAAAAACAATGGACATATAGGTTGGCGGGATGGTTCACACTTGATCCACATTAACTTTGTCATTGGTCTCAAACAAGCAAGAAACGATTCCATGGTAGACACCCTTTTTCTACCAACTTTCCCACTAGCATCTTCCTGACTCCATTGTCATGCGCTAATGCGAAGTTACGTGCATACCGCAAAGCACACAGTGTGGCATGCTCCGTCCACAAAACACATGACATGGGCAATTCTCATTTTTACCAAGGTTCACGGTGTGGCATGTTCTGTCCCAGATGACATGGGTTTGATTCTGCTCGGTAGGATAGCTTTTAGAGTCGTCATGTCACTTGCCTAGAGTATAGCCATATCATGCTGTCATGCTATGTCATGCTATGTCTAGAATGCTTTCAAATGCCTCATTCTTCCTGTGCTGATCAGAGGCAACTGGAAGAGATCCACTGCACTGTCCATGGTGATGCCAATCCTCATCCTCGCTGAACGGGAGCAAAACACAGGGTTCCCAGAAAGTCTGAAACTGGATAGTTCCCTACTAGGCTGGTCGCATGGTGCTGGGTGGCTTTTGAGTCTCTAATTAAGTGAGTGGATGTGACGACGGGGCACCCATATCCCAGTTCGCACCCCAACATGGAACTGCTGGTGCAGTCAAGCAGCCTCAAAGCGTCCGTGTGTTCAATGCTTTAGCAATCTAGGAACCTACCCCTTGCGACACCTCAAAGCGTCATCAGGATTATGTGTACTCCGGGGGAAAAACAACACAGACCACAACTCAATTTCAGGTGCTATTTAACATGGACCACTGGAAACGGTGACTTACTGGCAAAACGGTATTAGCACTATTTTGGTCCATTTCTGCTAACATTGACCATTCCCACTCTCAGCCTATGATCGAATCTGACACTAACATGGACCGACTGCAATCTGACTATACACAGAACGCAGGCTAATATAGACCGCACCGGTAGAGGTCAACATAGCCAGGTGGACTAACATAGACCATGCCACATACCTCTAGGGCCTCATTTTTTTCATCCCACGATCTCTTCATGTCTCTCTCATATTTCATCTTCAGAGTGCTTTGGAGAACGGAGGGCTTTAAAAAACAGAAGGATAGTCTCAACGGAGGCAGGTGCGAAACTAGACTAACATATGCCACAAAAAGAACTATATAACTATTATATTATGTGCCTAAAATGTCAGTTTTCTCCGGTGTATATTATTCAATTATATTCAATTTATTCTTACATTCATTCCGGTATAATATGGTATAATGTAGGTTCTTGCTCGATAAAACCCTCAGTTGGATTGTAAAACCTATGGGTACTTTATCACTCTATATTCAGGACTCTACTTACTTTACCAATTCTGTAATTGTAGACCTCATGAGTTGTCAGCTAGGGTTCTGATGAAAAAGCTCCACGAACTCGTTGAGGTTCAGATTCCCATTGCCATCCTTGATCGCAGCGATGGCGCCGAAACGGATGACTCACTGGACTGCTTCCCAGGTATTGGCTACATATTATATATCATGGACTGCACAACTACATGGACTTCTGACATTGGCCCCGCCAGGCCAGGCTCTCAAAATATGCTCTTCCCCCTTCAAGTATGTTGGCCAAACTCTGGCCTGACTCGAAATCACTGTACGTGGCAGAAGAATATCCACCCCAAAGCCGCTACTGTAAACACAATGCAGAAGTAGGTCAAAGCTGAATTGGAGCTTTTGAAACAAATCGACTCCATCATGCATACCTAAGCCCAGAATCATGTACCCACTGTGCTGTATGGAATGTCACCATTTTACAGCCACCTCGATTGAACAAGTTAAATCGACTGCAACTACTCTGAATTGTTTTTTTTCTCAACAATAAACCTTGCATCTCTACCTACAGTATCCACTTTTCAGGCAGTAAATCGACAAAACGACTATAACTATATCTCTGAAGAACCGCCACCAGCGCCACCGAAGTGCAAACAAGGATGGTGCATGGCATGTTGATCTTGATTTCTTTCCACGGTCGACGTGGGATGCTTGGAAGCCCTGAGCTCGTCCGAGCTCGCCCTTCGATGTGCTGCTATTCATCCTGCCCTTCGTGCTTCCCGATCGAACCATGGAAGCCTTGACAGTCTCGACCGACCGATATGGGCTGTCTTTGCTTCAAAGCTGCTGTGTCTACAAACTCGAATAAGACCTTGACATCATTCGCGCTGTAGCCCCATTTGGCCAAACACTTCCTTAGACCAACGGGGTCCATCTCCAGAATGGCAGGGGGTTCTCTTGCTACAAGGACTTGGGGCCAAACTGATGTTCATCGTGCTCATTGTGGCACATGTCCTCCCCGCGACAAAAACGGAATCGAGAGGGGTCGACCAATTGGGCTTTCCCCAGAAATTGGCCAACCTAGACCCTATGGTATTAGGAAAAGCCCCTGAGCCCAATGGGTGGAAGGTGTTTTTCCGTTCGCGGAAGTCTCGGGGGCGGGGGTTGGTCGACAGCTCCCTTTGAAAGTCCTCCACCACATGCGCAAAACTACAAATCACTTGCAAATCTTGATCAATATGTAAAGCCAGCAACTTGAACATGAACACAAAGCAGAGTTAGAATGAAACTTGTGCATCAAGTCTACTTCATCAAAGAGTGCCAAGAAACTGCGCGCGAGTGAGCAGCAGGACTCGTGTGCGTTGTGACCAGCATGCAGTAAACTCATTGCCAATAATGCCCACGGGCAAGGCTAGGAATAGAACCTCGTTTGCAGTTGCAGTGTCGTCGCCTTTACCGATCTGGCCTTTTGATCAAGGTGATGAACCTTTCGCAAACCAAGAACCCTGGCAGCAGGCGTTGGCAAATTAACACTTGGAAGGAACACGATTGAGGGAGCCATGTATCACAAAGACTGCCTCACCACAAGGGCTGAAACCATTGGTTTCCCTGGAAAACCAGGTTAACCTGTTTCGACTTGTTGGATTTTTTGTTGTGAAACCACTCCCCCAAAAGGATCCAAAATGATCCAAGGATGTTAACGGTTATCCACTGGAGTGGGTAATTAGGAGGGTCACACCATGCTTTCGACCCACTCAGCCAACACGACCGGAAACGAACTCTTTTACACAAAAGGTCGATCGTCCGGTCCATCGTCCGGGCCTCTCCGGCCTCAATTCTGCATTAAAACACGTCAAACGCAACATGTGAATACATGTGACATGAAGTTACTACTGGCACCAAGAAGAAAACAACACCTAAAGTGAACTGAATTAATTGAAAGTCGATGACCTGAAGTCCTTCCCTCGGTTCAATGGCTTTCGCGCTTCCGGCGTTGCAGCTTTCGATCGGGCCCCCCTCAGTTCCGTTCTCACACCCCATCCATCTGCATCTTCCAAACGGACTAAACGCAGTGATGTCATAGCGTTGCATGCCCGACTGGCCCAAATTCTCAACATAAGCCTCATTGACTTGCTGCCACTTGGAAGAGCATAATCAAATCCTACTGATACCAACTGGTAAGTAGTCGGACTGTTATCTGTCAGGTGCCCTGAAAATAGCATCTGTGATGCTCAAATGGTCTCCCATGGTCTACCATACCACCAGCTCTGCCACAAACTGTACTGTTATGGCAAAAACCAAGCAAATTGATGTGTTTCCGCAGGTTCTCAAAACAAGAGGTCCTCTGGCCAATTCGATGCCTCACCCGACCCATCATTTTGTTTCAAGCTGCACTGGCAATCGTCAGGATAGAGACGATGAGGAAGCCTTTCAACTTTTGGTGTTCAAATCCCAATTCGACTAACTAACCTTCGCAAGGAGGTTGACTCCACTTTGTAGTCCAGAAGGTCTTCTGATTCTACACTACCTTTGGTCAACAACGCATAACAACTCACTCAATGACTCGTTTATGTGGGTTTGACACGGGATATGCAAACAACGCAGGTGCGACAAAGAGGGACGTATTTTTGAGTGAACCAACTGCTAAGTGTGGATGACCATCGCACCATTTCAGAATGAATTGAAGCAAATGGCTGCAGTCACATGAACAGAATGAAAACATATCACACTACTCAAAAACAATCGTTTCCCTGCTCTGACGAAGGTTCTTTCATGGTTGTGCCCTCACATCGTGCATAAGCCACGCGCAAACATAGAGGTTATGTGAGTGAACCATTTGAGTGCAAACACACATGCATCACGCTGTAACACGCGCATGGTCATGGAGAACAGTGGTCCCAAACATGCAGCCCACAAAACTAAGAGCAACAACTGGTGGTAATGGTTGGTCGCACGCGTGGTATTAATGACAATAGTCGTGGAAGAAGAAGTAGTAGCAGTAGCAGTCGCAGTCGCAGTCGCATTCGGAGTCATAGTAGTAGTAGTAGTAGTAGTAGCAGTAGTGGTAGTGGTAGTGGTAGTGGTAGTGGTAGTCGTAGTAGTCGTAGTAGTCGTAGTAGTCGTAGTAGTCGTAGTAGTCGTAGTAGTAGTAGTCGTAGTAGTCGTAGTAGTCGTAGTAGTCGTCGTAGTCGTAGTCGTAGTCGTAGTCGTAGTCGTAGTCGTGTAGTAGTAGTAGTAGTAGTAGTAGTAGTAGTAGTTAGTAGTTAGTAGTTAGTAGTTAGTAGTTAGTAGTTAGTA